ATTCTATGATTCTATAAAACAAGATGCCAAAGTATGTCCTGGCACTGGATTTCTTTGTGCTGGATGCACAAATATAGATGTATGGGATGACGGCCTTGCCATTAGCCTGTTCTGAAAGGCATGAAAAGAAACACAGTTTGGGGAAAATTAGAATGTAACAATGTGCACGTGAACATAGTGGTTAGTAGTAAATGTAATATGTAATGAATGTAGATTATTACCAATAACAAAATTGCTGTTGCCTTTTTCCTAAATAAAGGGAGAGAATGGCAAAAATGAAAACTTGGCAAGACTCAGGATAGGAACAGGAGAGGTGGAATCGCAGTTTGCCACCTGTGGTCAGCTGGCACAGTTTATTTGGCTTCAGGGCAGGGTAGAGCAGAGAGTTCAGATGTTTAGAAGTAGAATAGGACAAGCAAATATAAGTGTTTCTCTGTCTCCCTGAATATAGTCAGCAGGAGACGAGACATAGGCGAGAAGAAAACTACCTGTGAGCTCTTTCATAGTAAAACTGGAGTCTTTGTAGTCTTGAAGCGAGAAAAAGCTGACCAGCAAAATGAAAATGGCTCTTCCCGAGTCAAACCTAGTGCCAAAAACCTGAAATGTTTATGTACTTTAAGTATCCTGCAAGCCATGTTTTAATTAAGTGCCGATGTGCCGCACTTACGATACTGTATATTTCATTGTAAGGTAAAAATGTTAGTAACACAAAAATACTTTCAATGGGGGTGTTTTGTAAGTTCCATCCGTGTTTAGTTATTTGTAACTGTCTCTTTCTCTCTGTAGATAATCTCTGTGACAGGATTTGTCGATAGTGACAGAGATGACCTCAAACTGATGGCCTACCTAGCGGGTGCCAAGTACACGGGCTACCTGTGTCGCAGCAATACAGTCCTCATCTGTAAAGAGTAAGTGGTTTATCTCTGCAGCACTCACGTTCTCAGTTGCCTGTTGCAAGTTAATGCTTTTCTTAAAGTGAGGTGCTAATTACAACTCATCAGAAGAATGTCAATTTTAATCAATTTTGCAATTTGATAGCAATAAACTTAGTGATGTTTTTTCTTGAACTAAATTACTGCACACTGTTACACGATAAATTTGGCCTTCTGAAGACAGGCAAAAGAAAAGTCATTTTTACTTCCACTGTTTTACAGTATTTTGTAAGTGAAGCTGACTTTTACATCATCTGTAAGTAAAGTAGTTAGTTAGTTAGTTATTCATAAATAATTGTTTTAAAACAAGGGGTAGGAAAATTAAGTTACGTCCAGGTCAAACTTGATTCTGTTTAGAGTAGAAATACTCCTCTAATTGAGTTGGTTTAGCACATAAAACAAAAGTAATTTGTCAGAGTATCTACTTTGTTAGTTAAAATATATAATAGGTCAACACAGAAATATTGGTATTTTAGGTTTATTATTAGAAATTGCTATTTTAACTATTTTATTAAATTTTCTTTCTTCATCTGTGAACAAAAAGGGCCAGTGGATTGAAGTATGAGAAAGCAAAAGAGTGGAGAATACCCTGTGTCAATGCGCAGTGGCTCTGTGACATACTGCTGGGAAATTTTGAAGCTTTGCGGCAGATCCAGCACAGCCGGTACACAGTGTTCAATCTTCAGGATCCGCTCTCTCCTAGTCAACATCTAGTTCTAAACCTTTTGGGTAAGAGTGTCCGTCCCAAAATCCTGTGTTCTTGTAGCATTTATGTATGCACTTTATGTGTCTTCTGTAATAGATAACTTTGCAATGGTTTCATTTTTGTTTTGTTCTTCCGCTCCTAGATGCGTGGAGAGTCCCGTTAAAGGTATCACCGGAACTTCTAATGGTATGTTGAATTATTGTGTATATATACAGCTGGTTTTGTAAGATCACTCTTTAGTGTTTTTAACGTGTGAGCACATGTCTATGGTGTGAGCACAAGCCAGAGGGACTTACACAGAGCTGTAGTCAACCTCCTGGCTTTATTTCCTGCTGGTGTTCTTTCTATTTTATTTTGAGAAATCTGAGCAACAGTCTTTGCAGAACTAAGAACTTGCACTGTGATACACAATTTTAAGATATCTTGGGCTAGTGCTTCACTCTTAAATTTTTACAACAGAACTTTAGAAGGGACTTGGGATTTTTTGAGTCAATATCTAACACTGTCTTAAAAGCAGCCCATGAAAGGTTTTTAAGGCAAAGCACCAAAAATCGGTAAGAATTCCATTACAACATTGACAAAACAGATAATATAAATTAAGGGTGAAAGTACTTTATATCATCTCTTTGAAATACTCTAAGAACTAAAACCATGGGCATATGTACTACACATTTTATAATTTAAAAATACAGCTTGCTTTTAAAAGTGTAGTTGATAATGCTGGAAATAACAGCAGTGTAAATGAACAGTAAGGATAGGAGGAATGTACATTAAAAAAGATACAAAACATTTAGGTTTTGTCACATTTATTCTGTGAAACATGCAAAACATGAGACAGGTGTAAGAGCTGAGGTAGAGACTGCAGCTTATCTTCTGAACTGTTTCATTGTTCTGAATATGTAGAAAACTATTCAGATTTTGTATTATAAGTTCTCTTCCCATTTCAGATTTGTACTTTACAGATGTTCTCACAGTGTCTGTCTTGCACAGGTAAATCCCAATTTGAGCTAGTGAGCTGTTAGTTCATTTGTGCAGCAGATGACTGTCAGATAACGTTTTATATTGCATGAAAATGTAAAAGCTGTGTTTTCAAGTTACTCAGGCCAGGGAGAGCCTAAAAGCTGCATTTCTCTACTTCTGGGCAAATGCTGTAGTGGCTGCTCTAGTACTTGAGAGGGAGGAGTGTCTATCCAGTGTGTTCCTGAGCATCCACTGGAGCTTCTCATTCTGTAGTTAGGGAACTTTAGCATTTAAAACGCAGGTTCCAATACTTCCTGTTGATACTTAAGCACCTGGAAGAATATTGTAGTCTTCATGTATTTAAAAAATGGACAGTTTTTTCAGTCTCTTTCTCATTTAATTCTTTGGGTTTTCCATTGAGGATTACCAGCTTTATTTAAAGCAAAAAATTCCCACACTATTTTATATGGCGTACACTTAAATATTTACATAACTTTATGGAGAAGCTTTGTTTAATGCTTAGCTTTGCTCTTGAGTCAGTTGGGTAAGGAGTAGGTGCACCAGTTTGCATTCAGTAGTGTGTCTTTCATTTGTGTTTTATTTTCTTTAATATAGTCCCAGAATATCGGTGTATAGTCTTCCTCTTTCATAACAGAAGCTGGTTTCCCTGCTCAATTCAGATATAAACATGTAGATGATCTAATTTCAGGGTGTGAGGTTGCCTTTGAAACCAAAGCAAAATGAATCCAGTCTTCAGCCATCAGCCAAAAGAGCAAGGTAAGGAGAGCGTGCAATCAGTGCCAGTAATCCCTAATTGACCTTTCCAGAAAAGTGTCAGGTGGCCATCAGACTATTTCCATCCTGTACCCTGCTAATTGAAATAACTATCAATGTTTTTTGCATATTTCCAGCTACTCAACTGGCAGGAATAAAATAAGAACTAGAGAGTGAAGTAGTAAGAGAATTGTGAGAGAACAGAAGCAAGAGAAAATGCCCTGTTCTCAGCATAACAATGTTTTCTTCAGAAGATTGGTCCTGTGTAATTCTCATTCATCTGAGTACTTCCATTGATAAAAGTTGCAAGAGTGTGCTTATGTAGTTTTAAAATAATAATAATAACAACAATAATACAACTTTGGGCTCAAACTTCACATTCTGCTGTGTTTCATGGCTTTTGTAGGATTGAAGACCTACCACCACCTACTAAGAAACTCACCCCAGAACTGACACCGATGGTCCTCTTCACAGGATTTGAACCTATGCAAGTTCAACAGTACATTAAGGTGACTTCCATGTTTATTTCTTGTGAACTACATTGAAACATCTGTGAACTTTTTTCTTGATGTTGAATTTTTGGTATCTAAGACTTGATTAGGATACACCTAAGGATAAAACCCCATGGGTTTTACTGGGGCTGAGGCTGAAGTATAGATTTACGTGAAATGAGCTTTATTTGGTAACTGTTCTGCTTTAGTTTACTACATGCTTCTGTGCTACTTGTTTGTTTCTTCCATATGATTATTTAAAAAGCAAGAAGGCCCCTTCCGTGTTTGTTTTTAAATCAGCAAACTTCGTGACCAAATTTAGGAGAGAAAAGTTGTGATGGTTGTACTGGATGAGACCCAAGACTCTTGTAATCTAGTTGTTATCTGTAGTGCCAAATGCTTCAAAGAAAGCTGATGACAAAGCTTATGGCAGGTGTGAAATAATAAGTTCCCATAGAGATTTTGTTCTGTTTCCTAATAAAGCTGTACCAAAAGTTAGCTCTAAATAATTTATAACATTCTTTTAATGGTAAAAAAATCCAATCACTCCTTGAACCTTAGGAACTAATAAATATTGGTTCCAAAAGAATTTTCTGTTTATGTTACTTGCCACATACTAGCTCAGGCTTGAGGCACAGGGTTTTTTAACTGCTGACCTCCGTAGTGTATGAAAGATCCTGCCACTGATGCCTATTCTGGCTAATCAAAAGTAAAGGAGGCCCAGTCAATGTGCTCAAAAATAGCTCAAAATAGCTAAGAGAATCTGTTTTGGTAACAGCTGTGGCTCAGAAATATAAGAAATGAACTTCAGGCTTGTGAAGTTGAATCTAAACTTGCAGTGATGATATGATCAAGACATTTCAGAGTTTGGGTACCTCACTGAGGCTGGATACTTCCCATCGTCTTGAGATGGAGGGGTGTTCATTTTTCCTGTATGCCCAAAGGGGTCCTTGAACATCAGGATGAAAACCTTAGAAGATCTGCACTCATAGGTATACAGTGTTTGAGGTGAACGTGTATTAACTATGGAAATAACAGCCTTTGCCTTTCATAGGTGTACAAGTGTGCTGTTCAGAATGTGTTTATACGTACCCTGAAGGAGATAAATAGAGAGGTTCAGTGTCACTGAATAATACTTTTGTGTATCGTCTTTATGCAAACCATCAAAGTAAGCTAGCACGGTAAAGAGAAGCTGAAGACATTGTCCCTGTCTATCCTAGTTGTTCATTGTCATCGGAGCAGTACAGAGGGATGCCAGAGATCTTTCAGGGCTTCTAATAACCCACTGGGCCTTCTCGCTTGGGTGATTCCTGATGACTGTTGTAATAAAATCACCCTAGTATGTTAAATATTTATGCTTAAAGATATTGGTGGGGTTTTTATTTTTTTGTACAAAACCCTTGTCGTAGGAAATCAGAAGACCATGGTGCATAGATACTAAAGCTGTCCAAATATTTTTTCATTCTTTAAATTTTTATGAGAGGAAGCACTCTATTTGTAACTAACACCTATGGTAATTTGATATGCTTCACCAGTTGATTAGTTGTATTGCTAATCCCTTCAGATAATGACTTGTATCTTAACTGACAAGATAAAAACTGTGAAGAATTAGTTTGGATTTGATACTTTAAACCAAGGAAAGCAGGGTAGTTACTCAGTGTCATCAAAAATACATGTGGAACTAGTGTATTTGAGTTGCTTTTCTCTTCAAAGACAAGACAGCAAAATTTAGTTTACTGTAGCTACAGGATATGTTACACCTTCCACAGAAAAGAGCAAAACTGTTACATTTTCTGCTTACTTAAATTTAATAGCATCTATCACTTGAAAATATTAATTTATTTTTTATTTCTTTCCTTGCTGAAAAAACTACAAAACCGCAAATGGAAAAACTGAAGCAGAATGTAGCTTTTGGTTTTGCCAGATGAAGTTTATGTCTGGATATTCAATGCTGTAAATTCTCTCCTTTAATCATCCTTAGTAATGGAATGACTGTAATACAGAATACTCCTACATTTACTGTTTCATTAAGAGCTTAGTTTGATTTGATGGTGATAATAAGATTCATTCTTTTCCTGCGGTTTTTAAAGGACTATTCCATTCTGATTTGTGTTTGTACAACTTTCAGAAACTGTATATCCTTGGAGGTGAAGTAGCAGAATCTGCCCAGAAATGTACCCACCTAATTGCCAGTAAAGTGACCCGAACTGTCAAATTCCTGACAGCAATTTCTGTAGTCAAGCACATAGTAACTCCAGAGTGGTTAGAAGAGTGTTTCAAATGCCAGAAGTTTGTTGGTAAGTTAAACTAGTATCAATTTCTATAGTAAATGCAAGGTTTGCTGATTTAAGTATGTTGTTTTGACTTCTGACTTTAGTGTCTCATGCCAGTTTTCTAAAGAGTTCAGTTTTGACAGCAGAGATTTTAAGTCTACAGCAAATGTGACAGTCATAGTTAATAACTCATGTTATGTTTAAACAATTATACTGGCAGCTAGTTTGTATTTCACTTGAGGTAGAAGGTTATGTTCGTGTTATTAAATAAAGCTTTCAAAAGAAGAAATTGTATATTTTTTTTAAGTTCTTTTTCAGCAGAACATTTTGTTTCATTTAATTTTCATTTGATTTAATACAGTTTATTTCCATTAAATGAAGTAACAAAATACTTTAAAAGTTGGCTTTAGAGTGATTAAGTAGTTGGATGTTGTTAAGCATTATATTTCTTTCTCGTTTAGCCATTTGCAGATTTGATTACATTGCTTTTTAAACCTCAAATGCTTTTGTTTTCAATATTTTTTTTTTAAAATGTTAGTTGTAAGGAACTAAGCCACTGTTGGAAATACAAAAAATGCATTTAAATAATTAAAATTAATTAGTCTAGTACCGTAACTGTGTTGGAATATGTAGACTTTGTGTTTGCACTGCTTTTCTGTTCACAGCTGAAAAGAAAAAAATAGATAGTTTAATTCTACTTGACAAGGATGTTGAATCTGAAGAAAATCTTCTTAAAAGGCTGATTATTTGTTTTATGATTGTTTTATGCTTTTTATATAATTTGTTTGAAAAGAGCAAATCTTTAACATTGCTGCCTAACCATCACAAAGACTTACATCTATGGATAATTAATCAATAAACCAACAAACATTTTTATAACTCCGGAGAAGGCAACTTGCTTTGTTCAGCATCAGTGAACTGAGAAATCAATCCATTTGAAAGGCGTTAGAAGATAAAGGAGGTCTGGGAATATAGAAGGATGACTCTCTTGATCTAGGGACCTGAAGTACTTTAGTTGTCTACTGAAATTTAGTCGATTTGTAGCTAATGGGCTGCCTTCTCTTTTGTCTCTAGTACAGTGATGGAAAATATGGCAGTTGTTTAGAAAAATTGTCCTATTGGTTTTCTTTGTCTTACGGAAAAGTATTAACAGAATCTCTTTGGAGTTCTCAGAATTATCCTTGGAAAGACCAACTTGTTCTCCATATAAATTCTATTTTTTTGTAAACTTAGGTGTTTTGAATTAAGTGTGGTTTAGAAATATATTTGACGTAGCTTTTTGTGGAAAGATAAGATTGAAATTCCATCCCTAATAATAATAATTAAAAAAAAAAACAAAACCAAAAAAACCAGCTGAATAATAGGACCAGGGAAACAGGTGGAACGTTTGTTCTGTTAAGTCTGCATGAGGAGTTGAGACAGTTTCTGGGCTTCCATACATTGTCACAGTGGTTTGAAGTTGAACTTAATCATTCTGCTCCTTCCTTTGTAGAGAATTGACAACTAAAAGTTCTCAAATTCCTCCAATAAGTTAGAAAAAGGGACTTTATAAGACGGTGGTTGTTGCTAGATACACAAGTGTGAAATGCACACACAATTTTATTCTCCAAGTAATTGTGGCTAATCCTTGTAAGATGCCTAATAATAGACAATATTATAATAATGTAAAAATTAGTGAATGTTCACCATTTAAAGTCACCCTCCCACTAACATTTTCTGATCATAAATAGATCTTGGGTTACATGGATTTTTTTTTTATTTTCCTGCATTACATCATCAGTCTTTCTTTTTCAGATGAGCAGAACTTTGTGCTCAGAGATGCTGAAGCTGAGGTGCTTTTCTGCTTTAGCTTAGAGGAGTCTCTGAAGAGAGCTCAAGTCGCTCCACTGTTCAAGGTAAGCATTTTAGAAGAAGGTTTTTAAATACTTGGAGCTTTTCAACGTAATTTTTTCAGCATTAGGACCACAGCTTTTGTAGTCAAGGGCTATAAAACAGACGAGTATATAACATGAAGAATTTGTTTTAAATTTTAGTTTTTCCTTTATGCCTATTTCCTGCCTAAGCATGGGGATGGATCTAAGCCCTCTAAGTGACTGGATCCCGTAGGTGTGAGCAAAACATGCTCAGTATTTGTTCCCTTACAAAATTTAGATCATTGCTCTGTTATTTGTAAAATGCCACTTCTGGAAGGGACTTTTTTTTTTTTTTTAATAGCAGCCTGGTAGTCAAAGCACTTGCTCATAAAAATGGGAGTCTGAGAGTGAGTTTGCATATCAGCTTCAGGGAGTTGTAATCTGATTCTTGAAGACTGTAGTCAACACCAGGCTGTTTGCAAGGCTGATGCGAGATGGTTTTCATGCCCCTGGTTAAAAATATGTTACAGTGCAGAGAGGTGTCTGAAGATCCAAATTGCTAGAGATTCTTCAGCGTAACTGAATTTGAGACTTTTTCTTGAGGCAAACCACCTAAAATAGCTGTTTTTGCAACTTGTAATGAATAAGAACCTATGTCTGTTATTTGGTCTAAATAATACTTTTCACTTGGTTTTGCAGTCTAAATATTATTTATTCCTAGCTGGTAAACAAAGATAATATACTTGGATCTGATCAGTCTCACTCAAGCAGTAGGATATTTTTTTGTCAGAAAGTAATACATTGGCTGTTAATTAAAAGCTGAAAGTTCTTTTGCAACACTTGAGATGTCCCTGTGCTTAAGAAGCAAGGAGCACTGTTGCTCCTGTATGTTTTACCAAGCTGCAGTTAACTTTTGGGGTTTTTTTGGGTTTTTTGTTTGGTTGGTTTGGTGTTTTTTTTATTATTGTTATTTTTTACTTTGTGGTTTGTTTGTTTGTTTTTTTTTTAACCACAGTTTTATCTGTGGTCACTTGAAAGTTTCCCAGTTGCTATTTCAAAGGTCTTGAAATAAGCATCCCTACACTATCCACATTTATCAAAATTGTGAGTTTGCCCCTACAGGGAAAACAGATCAGTGGTAATTAAGAACTCAAGAGCTGATGAATTTGTTGCCCTAAGCTGTGGTATCTAACCCCAGTTTACAAAGCCTGCCCTGTGATTGTATAAGAGAATAATCACATGATAATAAAATGACACCTTGCAGAAATCAGTGAACAAAATAATGCGTTTTCTTATTCTTTCTCTTCTCTTTTTAGGGAAAATATTTTTACATTACACCTGGAATTTGTCCCAGTCTTTCCACCATGAAAGCTATTGTGGAATGTGCTGGAGGAAAGGTATTATCTAAACAACCTTCTTTTCGGAAACTCATGGAGCATAAACAGAATAAGGTGTGTACAGTGCTGCTTTCTAAAATGTAGTGGTAATACCTTACTGTGCTATTCTGAGCTTACAATTCATTTCTTTTGTTTAGAGTCTGCCCGAGATAATCTTGATTTCCTGTGAAAATGATCTTCACTTATGTCGAGAATATTTCGCAAGAGCCATAGGTATGTATAAGCTATCAATGTAAATTGAACAGTGTAGCTGTTCTGATTTTTTAAATTGTTATTATTTTACAAGTAGATGTCTTTTGAAGCTTTTATGTAATAATAAAGGAATACATGATCTGTCTTTCAAACCAGAGAGAAATCTGTGCCAGCTGTTTGCTGGGTGTTCCTAATACAGGTGTTTTATAGCCTGGTCACCATAAATCTTTGGAAGGGTAGGCTTGAACCTGAGGCTTCCGTCCTGCCTGAGGCAAGATTACTGTCTCAGTATTCATCAAATTAGTTGAAGATTTGGGGATTTTCACTTTATCTATTTGTAGAACCCCAAGACATGCTGTATTTATTAACAAAGGCACTGGAAGTCCAGTGCAGAGTGTGATGGGTGACAGTAGAGCCCTGGGAGCGGTGGGGCATCGCTCCCTTAACGCCTTTGTGTGGAGGCAGAAAGGTGCAGAATGGCCTCTTCTGACACACCTGTAGAATGAGGAAGAATGTGTATAAAATATATGCATGTTTTTGTTATTTCCAGATGTCCACAACGCTGAGTTTGTCCTGACTGGAGTGCTTACTCAAACACTGGATTATGAATCATATCCTTTTTGTGTGTAAAGTTGTCTGCTGCTTAGGGAGCTGTGGTTGACTCAAAAGTTTTTCTTAATTATGAACTAATTATTTATAATGCTTTAGGATGTGTAATGTTTACTTGATAGGAGGGTAGTTTACTGAAAGTTTTTCTTAATTACAAACGAATTATTTATAATGTTTTAAGATGTGTAATGTTTACTTGATAGGAGGGTGGTTTAAGACCCAGAAACCTAGCTTCAATTGAAAGCAGAATTAATTTTTGATAGGAACTATTTCAGTGGAGGTGGGAGTCAGGGTTGTCAGAAAGTCACAATACTAGAATATTAAGCTCTAGGAAAAAAAGAAAACCTTGCCACTAAGGTAAATATTTGTCACGAGTTACTTGCAGATGAGGAAAATAGCTTTTTACTGAAGATTATAAACCCTGTTCGATAAATGCAGTGTAAGAACCAGTAGAGGTTCTATGTCTTTACGTATGCTTTTTATAAAAGTTCTATTTTGCAGTCATTTCTTAAAGTTGTTCTTTCTTAACAAACGTACATATAAATTTACTTGATGGATAGTAAAATGCCTTACTGCTTCGGAATCCTTGGAGCATTAAATCTAGCTGTTCAGCCATTGTACAAAGCAACTAAAACTTCCTGTGGATGCTGTTTTCCAGCTGTTTTCCTAGGGATGATGAGCAGTTTAAAGCAGGAAAGCAAAAATAAACTGCATCTTTTTTAGGATGTGTAATTTTATTATGCTGAAACATAATTTACTATGTTTTGTATTATAGTACCATTTTAAAAGAGCCCACTTTAGCTATCACGATTAGCCTGTTTTTAAACATTTTAACGTAAATGATGGTACTTCAGCCAAAAGTGTAATTTGGATGTAAAAATAAAAGGGCTTGCTATCTATTAAATTATGGATGTTGAAGATGAAAATGTTTTGTACTTTATTTTTATTTCTTATACTCTATTTTCTTTTATATTGATATTTTGCCCACATTTTAAATAAATGTACTTTTAAATGTTTTACTCTATATTTTAGTGGTGGTTCATTTTTTTGAATACTGTGCAACAATGGCACTCTGGTAAGAGTAAATTACTCAAATCTTTTTCTGAGCAATGTAAAATTATTTTAAGATTATTTTACCAGGTATGTTTTAATACATGAACCCCCAGTGCTTTAAAGGGAAATCATTGTAAATGTATATATGTGTTTTTACTGCAACAAAGAAATAGCTTGAAGGAAGGAGAAAATATAAACCCGCATATTACGCTGTTGTGATAACTTTGTTTGTATAGTGAGTTTTACTAAATAAATATTAAAAAACAGTCTCCCAATTCTATATTCAGTTTTATTTCCTAATACACACACAGTTCTAATAATCTGAATTTGCCATTTTTAGCAGTTTAGATTCTAGTAGAGGAAAAAGTTACCCTAAAAGCATATTTTCTCTGAGCAGCAAGCCATTAAACCCCAGCTGGGGATTGCAGATATCTACTTCTCTGTACGTCATCAAGTGTATTACAGCACCTCGTGAACCATTCACAGAGCAACTCGAAATACAATATTAAAAAAATACTTTAACAGTAGTTTATCATGTTCTTTTTTCCAAACATTTTGTATTTCTATGCAGGACCATTTTACAGAGAAGGCTTTATAAATAGAGTATCATTAAATGGACGTAAGCTGCTATTTTTAGCTTATGCAAAGCTTTCTACAGAGAAATTATTAATTTCAAATTTATTGTGTTATGGCTTAAAAGGTAAATTCATCTGATACTTGACCACTATTTCTGTTGCCTTTCTTCCAACACTTCAGTTCAACAAAGTGCTTAAGCAAATGACAAATTCAAGGTGTAAAACCACAGTGGGAGTAAATTTCAAGATGAGTGAAGTCCCAGGGACGTCCGTACTGTGCCTCTTGCCTGTTCCTGCTGGCTCTGTCCTCCTCAGCTTTCCCAACTTACTCCTGTATTTGGTGTTTCTGTTGTGATCGATAAGGGGCTACAGGATGATAAGAAGAATGGTGAAATTTCTATCAGTGTGACTTTTGATAATGTGACAAAATGTAGTAAATGAGGATGTTATACTTTGGCTCAAGATGGTTTTAGGTGCATTGGAGGTTAAAAAGGTTTGGTACAGGGTGGAAGAAAATGGTACTTTCCCCAGTTGCCATTTACTTAAAACAACAGTGATGTGCTTTTTCTTAGTGTGATGTTCAGCTCTCCATAACACAGTTTCCTCATTGTTATGAGATAGATAAAGTCTTTAATATGGAGACCTAAGGTTGGAAGCTGGTGACATGCTTTAACTTTTAAAAATAGTAAAAAAAAAGGAGGAGGGAATGTAGTGGGAGTTAATTGTTGGCTGACGGGTTGTGCAGATGATATAATTGTTCAGACATGTAGACCTACCTGGCAAGTCTGGTCTCCCTCTTCTGTAAGTGGAGGGAGGGCACGTCTCTAAAGGAAGCTGGTGACATGCTTTAACTTTTAAAAACAGTAAAAAAAGGAGGAGGGAATGCAGTGGGAGTTAATTGTTGGCTGATGAGTTGTGCAGATGATATAAATTGTTCAGACATGTAGACCTACCTGGGAAGTCTGGTCTCCCGTTTCTGTCAGTGGAGGGAGAGCATGTCTCTAAAACCTGACTTAAAGACCCCTGCAGAGAGTTTTTTAACAATTTAGCGTCTTTAAACAGTTTAGCAAACTCTCTGAGTTATGTACATCTTTTAGAATACAGAAAATAGGTGAGATCAATCCCACCCTAAAGAACTTCAATAATGCATTGCGTGGATACTATGGGGTTTTTAGTGTAGAAAAAAGTACACTTTTTTTTTTTAATCCCTTCAATGCACTTCAGAATGTGTAATGCTGAAATTACATAAATCTGTGTTAATCTCCAAATGACTTCAGACTTAGTTCATTGTATTGGTTACCAGGTTGCATCTTTTAGAATACAGAAAATAGGTGAGATCAGTCCCACCATAAAAAACATCAGTAATGCATTGTGTGGATACTATGGGGTTTTTACTGTAGAAAAAAGTACACTTTTTCTTTTAATCCCTTCAATGCACTTCAGAATGTGTAATGCTGAAATTACATAAATCTGTGTTAATCTCCAAATGACTTCAGACTTAGTTCATTGTATTGGTTACCAGGTTGCAGAAAGTTTTTGGAAGCCTTTTCCTTTAAAGCCAGTGTCAGCTGTTGTAGCTTCTGGACTTTCGGAAACGTGATAAACAAAACTTCTTACTTTGAATAAAGACTTCCTACGTGCAGAAAGTTTTTGGAAGCCTTTTCCTTTAAAACCAGTGTTGGCTGTTGTAGCTTCTGGACTTTTGGAAACGTGATAAAGAAAACTTCTTACCTTGAATAAATACTTCCAATGCGCCCGCATCCTGGGCTGCATCAAGAGAATCATGGCCAGCAGGTCGAGGTGGGTGATTCTGTCCCTCTGCTCTGCTCTCGTGAGACCCCACTGCACTGTGTCCAGCTTTGGGGTCCTTAACAGAGGAAAGACATGGAGCTGTTGGAGTGGGTCCAGCAGAGGGACAAAATGATCAGAGGGATGGAGCACCTCTTCTGTGAAGACGGGCTGAGAGAGCTGGGGTTCTTCAGCCTGGAGAAGAGAAGGCTTTGGGGATGCCTTACAACAGCCTTCCAGTACCTGGAGGGGCCTACAGGAGAGGTGGGGAGGGACTCTTTATCAGGGAGTGTAGTGATAGGACAAGGGGTAACAGTTTTAAACTGAAAGAGGGGAGATTTAGATTAGATAATAGAAAGAAATTATTTCCTGTGAGGGTGGTGAGACACTGGAACAGGTTGCCCAGAGAAGTTATGGATGCCCCATCCCTGGAGGTGTTCAAGACCAGGCTGGATGGGGCTTTGGGCAACCTGGTCTGGTGGGAGGTGTCCCTGCCCATGGCAGGGGGTTGGAACTCAGTGATCTTTAAAGTCCTTTCCAACTCTAACCATTCTATAATTCAATGTATCTGCTGTATGCCTTACCAATGATGAATTGCCATATCCAATGTAAGTGCTAAAAGGGTAGACGCACGTAATGAGATGCACGTACTGAGTTAAACATTAAACGTAATGTTTAACTGTGTGTGAAATCAAACACGAGGCAGAAGAATTTGCAGGACCGGGTTCTAGAGGCTAAAACAGCTTTCTGCAGAATGAAACCTGGCACGGAGGGAGAAGAGGCAGAGAGGAACCGGGTTTGAATGTCTTCTCAGGTTCTGCCTCAGAAACCTAAACTGCCAGACTCGATAACACATTTCTGCCTCACCTTTTTTAGGATTAACTTCCACGTTTTCCACAATGAAGCAGTGTTGAGGATCTATGACACCTTTACCCAAGAGTTAAGAGACATGTGAATGCAATAGCATCTGAAAGGTAAGCGTCCTTATGAAAACTATCCAAAATGCTGTCAGACAGCGCACGGGGAAGCTTGAAGAAAACCAAATGCAATCATGGAACAAATGAACCCCGCGGGAAACGTGAGTGGTGATGATGCACCTGTTTCATCATCAGTGGAGACAGTGTGTTTATTTAGCCAACATACAAGTATGAACTGATTTGATTAACCTTTCAATTAGAGTAAAAAACAGAACCTGCCAAGAAATAGTCTTTCAAGAACCACAGGAGCTGTCCAGAGCCAACTGGCTCAAACAGATGTTACTGTGTGTGTGATCAGTGATAGAGAAAGGGTTGGATTGAATGTGCTGAGACTGGGTTGCTGTCACGAGCGTGCTTTTCCTTTAGTGGAAGGTTATAATACTGAGGTGTCTATTTGATCCCTTCTCCTGTACTCAGGAAAAAATAGATACCTTCCATGTTGTTCGGTTGATTGCAGAAGCGTTAGGTCCGTAATATAAGCTTATGTTCTTTGTAGCTAATCTGTACTGATACGGCAGTTATTGAAAGATAAATATAGAACATGTCTGTGATAGCAGAGACGTTCCATCAGTTAGGGATCTGCTGGAAATCAGGGAGACATTGTCTCTACTCATTTCCCTGCAGCTTTCTTTGCTGCGTGTCATAAAGTAGAACTGTAGAAGTGCAGCTAGAAGAGACCTCTGGAGGTCCAGGTCAGTTTTCGGTATCTTGAAGGGTGGAGGTGCCACAACCTCTGTGGGCATCCTATTTCTGTATTTCACTACCCTCAAGGTAATAAATGAACCATCCTCGTATTTAATCAGAATGTCCATTGTTCCACAGGTGGCTGTTGAGTCTAATTTCATTCCCCTGCACTTTCAAGAAAAGTCTGGCTCTTGTGTCCTTTCTGCCTTCTGGTGGGTAGTTGTAAGCCATGGTAAGACCTTGTGTTCTTAAGGCTGAGCACACTCCTTGTACATTGTGTACTTACACCCCTAATCATCTTGATGGTCTTCTGCTGGACTTGCTCCACGTGCTCCATTGTCTTACTATACGAGGGAGTCAAAAACTGTAAAAAGAGATAGAAGTTTGGGGCCTTTTTGGCTTTTTCATGTCTTTCATCACTAAATCCCTTGCCATGTTGAGCAGTAGACATTCCTTTTCCTTTCTTTGCTTTTTCTTTTGGCCGCTGATGTATTTACAGAAGCCTTTCATGCTGCCTTTCACATCTCTTGCTAGGTTCAACTTGGGCTGAGCTGCTCCTGAATAAAAAATCAACTGCACGTTTCAAGATGTGTCAGACATCTGAGTGGAGCAGGTAAGCACCAGCATGGATGTGTTTAGGAAGGTTGTGCAACTTTAATCTTTACACAGCTTTACTATTAAAAATTCATCAAACATTTTCTAAGCACGGTTTAGTTAGTTTGTCCTACCCTAAGGCAAAAAGGTAGGCGAGAAGACAGTTCTGTTGGTGTTTATTTATTTTATCTTTAAATATCGTGATGCCTTAAGAGGTGCTAGGAGATTACATAGACTTTGTTAGGTAAGAATTACCCTTTTTATGGATAGAAACTAAGATTCGGAGAGAAATGTGCACTGGGAATGGTGAAGCAGGGAATCAAACCCAGGTTAGCCAAATTCAAAGTTCACGTCTTGACAGCCAGTCAGAGCTTGTTCCCTTTCCCCTTTCTTCTGCCCATCCACTGCTGCTGGCAGCAAGAATAAAGAAACACCAACCAGTGGAGCCAGGGAACGGCAACAGAAGAAGGAGAGCACACACCAGGCAGGTTGACCCCTCAGAGAACAAACTTTTATAAATGGGTTTACTAGGGGTAAGTTTTCCTAGAATTTCTATAAAATAGCGGTAATGAATCCAAAAAGTGTTAATAAGGAAGCTGTGGGTGTGTTTCACTTTTCTGCAGTGCTGCAGGATTGAGAGAGACTGTC